ATGCAGGCGGTCGGAAGTTGAAGTATGATCATGTGACTTGTGGGACCGGATCTCCATTCTATATGTCCGACGTTCATTTTCAATAAATTCCTGGGGAAATACTTAAACACTTGTTTATATTGTTGGAATAAGAGTATAAGCAGAAAAGAATGAGTGAATTTAAAGTCAAGGAGATTTCTAAGAATAATGATGTTATCAATGTAACTTTGGAATCTGGGAAAACCATTGAATAGTGAGTCTTCTATACCCTTGAGTATTAAATCTGATATCAAGAGATAATAGATCATACTAACCGGACTTCATAGTTTAAACATATGGTTAAGAGATAATTGTCATTGTGCTGATTGTTATGACTCTAGTACTTTCCAGAGACTAGTTGATACTTTTGAAGTGAGTGATTCTTGGAGTATCGTCTGATTATTGACTAGAGCTATTAAAACTAACTTTTGCCAACCCCAGATCCCTGATGATTTACATCCAATTGATATCAAATTGTCTATATCTTCCATTGATATCCAATGGAGTGATAAACATTCATCTACATATGATTTTAATTGGCTTGTTAAACATACCACTGAATTGACTAAATCAATAGCTATTAAAGAGGAAGGATTATTACCGAAAAGAATTTATTGGAATAATGATTTAATTAAAAAACAAACACCAACTGTTGAATATCAAGATGTCTTGAACAAGAAATCCAATGATTTTTATAACAATATTTATAAATATGGTTTTACATTCATCAACAACATCCCTGTCTCTGCTGAATCCACCGAAGAATTATGTAATTCAATTGGAAATATTCGCTATACACATTATGGTGGTTTCTGGGATTTTACAACAGATTTAGCAATGAAAGATACAGCATATTCAGATATTGAAATTCCATCACATACAGATGGAACATATTGGGAATATACACCTTATTTACAACTTTTCCATCTTTTGTATCATGATGGTGAAGGTGGTAATACAACATTAGTTGATGCTTTCCAATGTGCTAAAATTTTCCAATTGGAAAAACCTGATGAATATCAATTATTATCAAATTTAAAAATTGATTGTCATTCATTAGGTGATATTTACTTAGTTCAAACAAAACCTATATTCATTCATGATGATTTGGGGAAATTAATTCAAGTTTCATGGAATAATTCTGATCGTTCATCAAATTTTAATATGGATAATGAAACAAAAAGGAAATTTTATAAAGCAATTAAATCATGGAATGAAATTATTCATAGAGAAGAAAATTTCTTATGGCATAGATTAAAACCTGGTCAAGCTTTAATTTTTGATAATTGGAGATGTTTACATTCAAGAATTGGTAAAACTACTGGGAAAAGAAGAATGTGTGGTTGTTATTTTGATAAAGAAGATTTCTTGAGTAATTTAAAAATAAGAAATTCTCAAAATGAACAAGAATTATTTGAATCTTTATAATAATGATCACAAGTTATGCTAATACAGATCTTCCTATATACATGATACAATAATATAAATAATAACTTATATATAAATATTTATAATACATACAATTCTATACTATCATAAATTATACAATAACTTTATGATTTTTAAAAATTCGTTTATATTGTTTATGACTTTCTCTTTTTTTCCAAATTTTTTTAAATAAAGGTGGAATATATTGATTTGCCAAATAATTCAACAATGCAAAAATTATAATTAACCATTTAAATCCAATAGAAATTTCAGTTAATTGAAATAATTGACCTAACCAACCATCAACATTAACATTCATTAATAACATACTTAAAATTGAAGCAATCACAATATTTGCAATAAATGGTAAATTTTTACTTGCAGGTTCTCTATATGGTGGTCCAACAGTTAATGTAATTGCACACAAAATATATTGGAAATTTGAATAAAAAAATAAAACTGTATTATCAGATGATTGCACGGCATCATCACCACCTGGTATAGGTTTAACATACCATGTTTGAGTTTGAACATAAAGCCAAATAATTAATTGAAATGTTAATAAAATCAAGATATTAACAACAAGTGGAATTAATAATTTTGGACTAACTAAATTTGCACTTGGTCTTTTTGGGTCAACTTTATGATAAGAATTTGACCATGACATAAAAATTGCAATTGGTAAAATTAAAAATAAATCAATCCATAAAAATTGAAAATCACCCAAGTTGGAGCCCCGCTTATACAAGATTGTAATTGAAATAAATTGAATAGCAGAATATAATGACATATACTGGAAACAACTAAAACTTGTAACTAATGAAGCACGACCTTCTTTAATAACATCCAAAACACAACTAATTTCAAATAATCTTGAAGTGAAAGGTGCTGCAACTGATGCTTCAGCTTCTGATAATGAAATACCAACATCTGCAGCTTTTAAAGCACCACAATCATTTGCACCATCACCACAGAACCCCACAGTATAATCTAATTTTTGTAATTGTTCAACTAATTCATGTTTTTCATCTGGTGACATTCTTGCAAAAATATTTGCTTTTAATAAAATTTTAATAATATATTCATCAGAAAATAAACCTAATTCATTTTTTAATAAATATCTGAAAACATCACCTGAAATTGCTAAACTAAAAGATTTATTTGATCCATAAAGATCTAAAGTTTTAGAATCTAATGATAAATCTTCATCATCAATTTCTCTCCAAATTAAACCATCATCTTCATTGAAAACAGGAATAAAACATAAATCTTCTTTAACTATACCACATTCTCTACCAACACTAACAGCAGTTAATAAATTATCACCAGTACACATAACAGTTCTTAAATTTGCTTGAGATAATTCATTTAATACACCTGTTGTTGATGGTTTTAATCTATTTTCAAAAACAATAAACCCTAAAAATTCTAAATTTGATTCAGCTTCCTCTCTGGTAATTTTTTGTGAATATAACCAATTATTTTTTGGTAATGGTTTACCAGCACATGCAATAACTCTATAACCATTATGAGTATAATGATATAATAAATCTTCATAATTTTCAGGGAAAGTCTTGGGGTTACAAATATCTTTAATAACTTCAGGTGCACCTTTTGTTAAAATTGAAAAATCTTGATTTTTTTTAATTATAACACTCATTCTTCTTAATTGTGAAACAAATTCAAATGATCTTAAAATACCTAATAATTGTTGTGGATCATTTTCTGGATAAACAACTGATGGAGTTATACCCATATTTTCAGGTAATTGAGCATCATCAAATCTTTCTTCTGTTGTTGAAGTAAAACCTTTAAATTCTTCTTCATATTTCCAACCTGTAAATTCAAACATTTTAAAATCTAATGGATCACCAATTAATTCATTATCAACAACTCTTAGGGAGTGACACGAGACTAAATTTTCTAATAATTTAGAATGTTCATGGGAGATTTGATTTATATTCGTTAATAATTCATTAAAATGCTCATTATTAACATGAACACCATAAACATCTAAACCATCTTCAGTTAATGTCCCAGTTTTATCAAAACATAAAATATCTAATTTCCCACCAACATTAACTCTTGTTGGAGAAATACAAAAAATATTCTTCAATTTTAATCTGGCAAGGGCAAAACTTGTACCAATAGTTAATGTAGCAGGTAATGCAGGTGGAACAACAATAGTTATAATATCTAAAGCTCTAAGGATAATAATTCTTGGACCTAACCCTAATTTAATAAAATTTATTGTTGAAAAAATGAATCCGATACATGCAATCATTGTCATAAATCCAATATATTTAAATGAATCTTCATAAAATTTGAAACCCACAGGTTTTGGAAATAACATTGATCTTAATAATGCACCTTTTGTTGTTGAAAATCCAGTACGTACAACTAAAGCCATTGCAGGATCACCATATGGATGTCTAACTCTAATAATCTTTGTACCATTGAAAAGATAAGATTTTGCCAAAAATGGAGAAATTTGAGTTTTCAAAGAATCTTTAATTAGCACATCTAAAGTTTCTCTTGTTGCTGGTAATTTAGACACGGGGACAGATTCACCCGTGAGCATTGATTCATTAACAATACAATCACCAGATAATAATACTGAATCACATGGGAAATTAACTAATGATGGATCACTAATTTCATAAATATCACCTGGAACTAAATCTGATGCATCAATTTCTTTCCAAAAATCATTTCTCCAAACACGAACTTTACATTCAAATTTTGATAAATTTTGTAATCTTGTCATGGTGGATTTTGTTTCAACTAAGGTATTTATTATTGAAAAAATTGAAATTAAGAAAATACAACCAGCATAATAATAATATTCATCAAATCCCCATAAAATTATTGAAAAAATTTGAAAAATATAAAAAGGATGTAAAACTTCATCAATTAATAATTCCATATTTGTTTTTTCTTTTAAATTTAATGAATTTTCCTTAAATACTAAGTAACGATCTTCATATGAAGATTTATCTAAACCATCTTTAATTTTATTTATATGAATCCAATTATAATCAATCCAATTTGTATTTGTCTTGAAAATATCCTCTACTGGAGAATAATAAAAATTTAAATAACGATATTCAAATGAAATTAAAATTGGTAAATTTGGATTGAGGTTATTATTAATTTCTTCATTTCTAATATCATCAGTATCAACTGATAAATTTGGTACATTAATAACAGTTGATAAAGATCTATTATACCATTGTCTTGAAACATCAATAATATTTAATTCACCATGTTCAGTCTCAGTAACAACCCATTCAGATTTCCCTAAGGGAACTTTTTCACCATAAATTGAAAATTTATATTTTGGTAACCATCTTAATAATAAATAAATTAAACCAAATGAACAAACACAAAGTAAGTAATATAAGAACAATCTTGGTTTTGAAGTTTTATAACCTGCAATCCCCAAAACTAAATCTTCTTCTGCAATATAAAATCTTTGAAAATGTAAATTTGTTGGATAATCAGGATAATAATGATTATGTAACTCAGCATCTAATTCTTTATAGTTATTCAAATGTGGGAGGTTTTGTTGATGATTATGAGTAACATTTGAACTTGTTGGATCTAGAGCAGAATCATCATCTTGATTTGATTCATTATCAGATTCTAATAAAGGACGACTTGATACATCACTTGGTATACGATCTCTAAAAGTATTTGCAGAATAAGCAGATGGAGAAGATGAAGTTCTTGTATGTTGAGATTCATCCATTGTAGACCCATAATCTGGTATGGACCCTTGGGTTGAAAAACTTGTTCTTCTAAAATCATCATCATCCAAGGTTGAATGTTCATAATTTGGAGTACTATTCCAATTTGTATCATAATCAATTGGATCCTCAGGGTCATCTAAAGTTGAAGCACCATGAGCTAATTCAATATCTTCAGGATTGAAGAATCTAAATTGTGATCTTGAATCAATAGATTGTGATCTTGATCTTGAATATGATATTGATTTTGATGATGATGATTTCCATCTATTTAAACTATGGTTTTCATTATTCACCCTACCACGTCGTATAGAACTTGCTCTTGAACTAACAATTGAACTATTTTCATCTAATGATTTCCTATGATTCGATGCAAATCCATGGGAATGATGGAATGAAGTTATTGAAGAAGGAATAATTTCAGAAGCAGCACCATCAAACATTTCAGTATTATTTTCATCCAAATGAACCGTTGCATTTGAAATGATTGAGTTTCTTCTTGAAGGGATTGTTGAAGATCTTCTTATTGACGAAGAACGTCTTGAAGATTGACTTCTAGGGATTCTATCAGCCA